TCCGCCGTCTCTCCCGTGGTGGCATTCTCTGCGTTCTTGGAGGCCTGTGGAAACAAAGCCACGGCGGCGGTCACGGCTCGGGGACCGCGGCACGGACAACGCCAGGACCACACTGCCCACCCGAGGGACCACGAGGAGGCCCCTTCCCGAGCCCAAAACGCGACCGCGCAGGACCTGGGTTAACGTCCGGGCGCTGCTGATTCCAAGAGACAATGTGCCACTAATCCCCACAAAACGTGGCCAAATTACCTTCTTTTTCTTCTTTTTCTGGGTCTTCCGGCTTGCAGAACTTTGTAGAAGGGCCTGGAGACAGGAAGGAAACATGAGCAGCGGGAATGCCAACTCCTTTTTTCGACCGCAGATAAAAGGGAAACGCCTTTAGAGCCAGCGAGCGCCGCCAGCCCTCGGAATGGTGTCAGTCCTAACGGGCACGGCGACAGACGGGGAATGCCACGGCCCCACGCCCTGCCGAGGTATGAGCCCTTGGAGCAGCTGCCAACTTCCCAGCTGCCAGGTGCTGTTACGGAGCACTGGACACGGGAAACGGGGCCCGACCTGCTCCTGGCCGCACGCCTCGGCCCCTGCCCTGCGCAGCCTTACGGATTTTCACTTCCCACCTTCGCCCCGCGCCATGTGCCACGTCTGTTTGTTATGGCGTTCACACCCCCCTTCAGCTCTCCGTCCTGCACCTCGAACTCCGACTTGTAGAGCTCCGGCTCGAAGGGGCCGCTGGTTATCCGCATGGGACCGTTGGGCATTAAAAGCACCGTGAATTTGAACTGTGCCACGAACTCCCCTGCAAGACAGGAACGGGCGTCGCTACACCGCAGCCTCGTGTATCCACTCCACCCGGCACCTCAGCACATTTCCAACCAGATGTTTCGGTTCCTCTGCCATTTCCACACCGTCACTGCTAAAAACCATCTCACGGGAACTTCTTAAACCTGCCCGGCCAGGGCAAAACAATTCCTTCAGCACCAACCCCCCAGTCCTGCTCTGGAAGCCACCCAGAGAGCCTCAGCCATCACTCTCTCCTCCTGCCCAGGAAATTACTCCACAAAAAATTTCATCTCATCACTGGAACGACTCCAAAACAAGATCCAGAAGCCAAGGGGTGGCAGGTTTCCTGGAGGATAAATCCCAGGGCCCTTGAAGTGCATCTCTGGTATTTTCACAGCGACAGCCAGCACCGGTCTCACCAGACTCCGGAAGCGACCGCCAGTTGTCTGCTGAGCGCCCGTCCACACCCGGTCCCAGTCCCCCCCCCGCCAGCACTCACCTTCCTTTTCGTAGAGGACATTGAAAGGCTGGAGCAGCTCGTGCTTGGCGCATTCCACCACCCCCATCCTGGCCTTCTTCTCATCCTCAAATGCCCTGCGGAGGAGACAGAGCCGCACCTGAGCTCCGGCCCTTTCCTAGAAGCCAAATTCCATCCCGCAGATTTCAGAATTGGCCCCGGGGTCAGGCTGGAGGCTCCGCTCCCTCGCGTCCCCCTCATCCGGCAGCGTCGCGGTGCAGTGGCAAAGCAGCCCTCCAGAGCGGGCAACTGCCGGGCGACCTGTCCGCTCCAGAGAGCGGAAGAGACAAGTGGATTTAGGGATGAAGAGGGAGCCCACGGATACGAACAAATACCTGAGAGTGAATGGCATAGTGTCAAAGCGCCTCTCCACCTCACTGAAAAAGGCACGGGAGGTTTTCATCTTCAAGCCGTACTGTTTGGAAGGGTCCCTCTTGTAAATTGTAGTTCTCTGCCCGGCATCCTTCGCCTGGAAACGCACACGGAGCTGAGAGACCGGCCGAGCAGCGCGGCGCTTCCTCAGCCACACTAGCCACGCGCCGGGACCAGCACCGTCAAGGTGCGCCTCAACCTTCCGGGTGGAAAAAGCTCCACCCAAAAAGACGTGACAATATCCAAGCAACAAGTATCCCCCAGCTGGAAGCGGCGCCCACGAGGATGTGGCTCGGGCTGCCGGCGACTCTCCGGAAACACGGGCGCTCTGACCACGCGCGCGGAGGAACGGCAGGCCAAGGTGCATGGGACTCACCTTTCCCTCTCCGCTGCTGACGAGAACGTCAACGGCGTAAACTTCATGGACCTCAAATTCTGCTTTTTCGTGGTCCTTCCTGGATGAAAATAAAGTTGGGCGAGTCAAAGAGCAGTCAATAGAGAAGACAAAACCTCCGACACAGCCACACCGCCTCGGACGAGCCCACGGTGGGCTAGCCAGAGAAGATCTACGAGCACAAAGTGGTGCTACAGCAACCAGGTCCCTGACCGGGAGAGCAGAAGCTGGCATGGAAGACGTAGGAAGTTGAAGATTAACACGCCAGGCAGCAGAGCTGATCACAAAACGGCGACAAGCCGGTGCTCCTCCTGCCCACGGCAAGGGGCTCCGTCCCCTGTCAAGGGGCGGGAGGTCTCCCAGACATTCGGCACCAGCTCCTTGGGCTGGTGGCCAAGAGCCCCACCACGCCTGGAACACGGCTGCACCTGGGATCTCACAGGCCAAACGCTGCATTCAAAGCCTCTGAGCTCTAAATATTCCCAACCCTGAGGGATCCCTGAGGGAGAGGAGCTGCTGGAACAGAGAGGAACGTATCCAGCTCCATCCTGAGATGCTATTGACAGCCATCACCATCCGGTGGGCTCAGAGTAGCTTCTGCGAGACAAACGACAGGTCTTGGCTTTTTTTTGGACCCCCCACCACTACAACCACCAACAGCTGGTTGCTTTGCTGGCAGCCTCCAGCAGGCTCCTTCGAGAAACTGGACAGAGACCAAGAACACTCGTAGGTGCCAGCGAGGAGCCTCGTGTCAGCGACTTCCAGCCTCTCTTTCTCGGAACAACCGCGAGCACAGAGCCACGCTCCACCTCCACCCAGAACGGACGAGGAGATGCGGCTAACGAGCTTTTAATTTGCTGTACTGGGTCAGACTTCAGGAAAGAGGCCCTACAGGGAGCTGTCTACACCCCCGTTAAATTAGACATACCTGCTGCATCCCCCACTTGCCACGGCGGCAAGAAACGGGGACACCGTTTAGCCACCGCCCCTCCCCAGCGCTGCTGGAAGCAGCGACCCCAGCGGGGATGCTCACTTTTGCTGGTCTGTAGGGTTCTGGATGATGGTTTTCTCCCCGTCGATCACGTGCTGTTTCAGCTGGTGCGACAGCATCCCTGCGCGACGAGAGAACCCGTTAACACCGCCGAGCCGCCGACCGGTGCCACCGCGAGCGTTCAAGCCAACAGCCTTCGGCGTCTGCGCTTCCTCGGCATCCTCGGCCGTGACCGCCACGCGCGCTGGCGCGGACACAGAGCTCCCCAAAGCCCACTCTGACCAGCAACGCTTCCTCGCCAGCGAGGAGGAGCTGCGAGCTCCTGCCGAGGCACGGGCGGCCGCCGAGCCCGTGCCAGCCCTGCCACGTCTCCGCTGGGCACGTGCACTGCACCCGTGGGCTGTAACGGGCCGGAGGTGTGAACCCACCAGCATGTGCAACGCACCCTTGGGTGTTCTTAAAGGTGCCAAATGAAGAGAAACTCCCAGTGCTTTCCCCAGTACCAGGCTGCACAGCACTCAACTGGTATTTTTTCTGGGGGACCTGCTTCGCTTTTCCCTCCTCTCCTACGCTTCACCTCTCTTCTCCGCTGCCCGGGCCGCCCCAGCCCAGCAGGGACGGAAGCGCGGCTCCGGCTGGGAAGCAGGCCTGGTGGGAAGGGCAGCGCAGCCCTGGCCGCGCTAACGATGGCACTTGGCTGTTCCCACAACAGTGGTTTTTCCACGGAGAAAGGAGCAAAGCCTCGAGGAGATCCACAACAGCCATCCCACACAAGGAGCGGGGAACCGACTGGGCTGAGGCGAGCGAGAACGAGCCAGCTTGATGCTATTCCAGGGAATTTAACTAATAATGGATCGATTTAATTGTGGCTGAAAGAGCCGTTTGACAGTGATGTCACCGACGAGGAGAAAAGCATCTGCGCGTGCCAAGCGTCAGGCTGAGCTCCCTCGCCACCTCTCCGACAGGAAGTGGTCCCAGTTCTACCAGCAGCTATCCCAGTGCCTTCCCACTTGTTACACAGAGAGCATGAACCAGTTGGGAGCTGGAGGGAAATTACATCCCCTGCACGTCCACGGGCTGCTTTTGCAGCGGCCCTCGCGTCACAAACGAGCTGCTACACGTTCGCTAAAGGGGCTTTAACGAGTGGCCACGCGACTTGCCCAAGGTTGGCAGGAAGCCCACGGGCCAGGACGCTGCCCAGCAGCCGTGGACACAGCACCTCTTGTCCCCAGATCAACGCGTCTTTAAAAATCAAAAACACAGAGGAGGGAAGAAGAACCTAGAGGGTTTTGAACGGATTTTTTTTTTAGCCAAGGCTGCTGTGT